TTTTTTCAGTGATTCAAATCTAGTATTTGACCACTCCTTTTGAAGATACAAATGTATGACTTATGTACCCTAAAGAATAATGAATATTTCTCCTAGAATTTTATAAAACTCATTATATATAGCATAGTTGTTCATTTTAAAACAGTTATAGTCAACAACATCATGATATATAGTAGCTTTAAAAAAGAAAAAGATATGTCTTACCTCTTCCCACTGATGTATGTATCTAATTAACCTTGAAAGTCGTAATAAACGCAACAGACTGAGAATTTTTGTAAACCTCACAATTCGAAGTGCCCTGGCTGTCTTGTAAACTTCTGAATCCATTCCTTTTTCTACAATGAGAAAGATATAATCCACTGGGATCGATGAAATGAAGTCAACCACAAACCAGCTTTTTAAATAATTCATCTTGATCACTTTAGGGTCCAGGATGATTTCAGAACTGTCTTCATTGACAGTCCCAGTCCTAAAATTCATGATCAAGTCCAAAAGGAAAACTGTATCTGAAGCCACGTTGAAAATAATCCATGGTGTTGTTGTTTGTTCTGTAAAGAATGTGATTCCAACTGGTATGATGACCAGATTTCCAACCATCATTATAAGCATTATTAAATCCCAATAAAACCTACAACAAATAAAAAAAAAATCACATTTTAAGATATAGACAATATCCAGACCATTTGCCCCCCACCCATAAAAAAATTATTACCGATTTATGGTTAAATAAATGAGTAAAAGAATAAAGTGTTGGTTTTGTAAATAAGGTAACTCTTTCAATGGCTATAAATTTATATCTTAGCAAAATTAATATATTCTTAAGCAAAGTATTGTGATTACAGAATTCTAAAAATTAGTCGATATGAGGTATTATAGAAATAAATTCAACAGCCATAACCCCATTTATCCAGTAAAGAAGCAAAAACACCCTCCCCCCCATAGCTTACATGGAAACAAGAGAGAAATGTAAGACCAGACGATTTACCTCAAAAAACTGCTTTTGGGAAGACTCTTTGGAGGTGATTTGAAGTACTTTATATGTCAAATTACCAATCATAGATTAGAATAAACAGTAATAATTAAGGTACACAAAAAATACTGGCCCTACAAATTTATCACTGGGAGATTAAGTAAATCATGGATTCTAGATTCACAGTACTCCAAATATTTATGCTTTATTCTTCTTTAGTTTGAAATAAGAAAACTAATTTTATTCTGAGGCTAAAAATGATTGAACAGACTCTACTTTAGATTTGAATTTAGAGTATTAAGAATCTATGATTATTAACTACCCTTTGAAACATTCTTATTTCACCTTATATTAAATTGAGAGAAAACCAGGAACTTTTAGGCTATTCCAGGTTAATATAGTGTAACAAAATTCATCAGAGATGATTATGTTATTTTCATTTGGATTCTTTCAAAGTTTATTCAATGTGTAGTTAACAGACTAGCTAACAGACTATTTATACTTGTAACAAGTATAAATATAAATATATGTTTATAAAATGAAGAAATAAATCAACTAACACAACTCTATAATAATGAAATAGTCTGGAAACATGAGTTACTTCATCCTGGTCATCTGTGTCCTCTTTTGGCAGTTCTTTTGCATAAATAACATAAACTTCATGACAGAAATTTCTGTTAACTGAGATATTTTTATTTTTACATTAATTCTCCTACTTAGACTATTTGGGCTACATTTTGGTAAAACATATTTGCATAAATCTTTCAAAGTTACTATCATCTCTGATTATGAATGACTCCTGGGATAAAAGTAGTAGCATAAAAAAGAACTACAAAAGGTACTCTCTCCCCTTGTCTCTACCTACCCCCAGGATTACATAAAAGACAAATGTTTGTAATTTTGCAGATTTCACCAGTCTCTCTATCTAAACTTATCTATACATTTATGGAGAAGTATTAAAACAGCCATATCAATCAGACATCATGCACTGGCAATTTCAATGAAATTGTTCCTGTTTTCCTTCTCCTCTCTTGATGGAAATATGCAGAATGTGCCAATTGATACACTAAGGACAGAGGAGAGATGTAGAGGAGATGCAATATTGTAATAGCTATTTCACAAGGAAGTGACATCATTGAACTCTAAAATGAAATTGTGTGTTCCCTAAAGATTTCCACTTTTCTGGATCTTCTTATCAGTCTTTTCTGTGGACCCCTCTCTGCCCTCCCCTTCCAGGCTGCTATTCCCCTGGGTGTCATACATAGCCTTTTCTATTTTACACATGCTCTTTGGGCAATATTATACACTTACCATGTCTTTAATGATTAATTCGTAACAGATGACTCTGAAAGCTTTATCTCCAGTCTATTCCTGTCTTTAAGCCTTCTAATCCTCATAATCAGCAGCCTATTAAACCTGTCCCCTTGCATATCTCATACTCTTGTCAAATAGCATGCCTCGGCTCAAACTCATCATCTTGTCTCCCACATATATTTCTAATATGTTCCCTAAGTCAGGAAATGGAACTCTTCCTGATTTGCAAGACAAAAAACTTCAAGCCATCCTAGGTAACTCCTGGCTCTAAATCTACTCAATCTCGATTCAATCACCAAAGCTGTTAAATATAAATTGTATTCATCCATTTACCCTTTCTGATTCCCACTGCAGCTCTCTTCAACCAAAAATTCTTACCATCTGTTTAATTTGGAGACAGTTACTTAAATTCTCTAATACTAAATTTTCTCTTCTGTAAAATGAAGATTACAATAAAAACAAATGTATAGGGTTTTACACATTAAATGAAATCATACATGTGAATCACAGATCCTAGCATGTAACAAACTATGGACACAATGCTGGTGGCCTACTAGGTATTCATTTGCCTTTCCTTACGAAAAAAAAAAATCCACTTTTGTGAGGAGCACCCAAAAGTCCATTGGAAAATATTCACTTTTGCAAACATCTTTGTATTTCTTTCATTAAGATAGAAGCTAGTTTTTAAGAAAAAAAAAATCATATTCTATCCATCTTAGTCAAAAGTAATGAAAAGGATAAAATACGATCCATTCCTTATTTTTGCTATAATGTTTATCATACCATAGCTTTTTATTACTGTTATTTAATATGATCTGAAGCCATTAGATATGTCAATATCAATAGGAAGCTCCATTAAACCTTATAATTTTCTTTTTAAGTATCGTTGACTCTACAGACATAAACACAGATCTTGTTCTAGACTTTGCATAATACAACACTTTGGTTAACATAGATTTCTTCCTTAGCTAGCCAAGGAAAATACAGTTATCACCAACTCTAGAAATATGATATAACTTCTGTTTTTTAAACAATGCATGTGTTCCAGAAAACAGACCTCATGAAGTTCTCTCACTTACCTGCCCACAAATTTCTCTTCTTGGTTCTTTGCTCGGAAAACTCTTGGGATACTCTGGCTCTCCCTCTTCCTTAACTCTCAATTTCTATGTCGTGTACATTTTATTACAGAATAGTTTTTGTTACATAGTCCTTCTTTCCATTCCTACTGCTATCTCTCTAGTCCACCCAGAGTTACCTCTTGCTTAGAGTACCTCAAGAGGCCCCTGTCTCTGGTCATCTGATCAATTCAACCCCCCAGTCCCAGGGCGACCTATCTAACATGTAATCTGCCCAGTTAAAAACCATCAATGACTCTCGATTAATTAAAAACAAGTCTCTTCTTTAACACTTTATGGCAAGCACCTAATATCACAAGCAAGAGAATACTTGCTCTTACCTTGCCATGCACACCTAGGTACACGTACGGGATTTGCAGTTACTTCCATTCTATGTATGCTTTTTCCTATTAGCATCCTACCTATCCTTCAAAGCCCATTCTGGCAATGAGTTTCTTAATTTTTTTTACAACCCCCAGAACAATATTTGTTTTCAATATCCTTCTTATTTTATTTTTGCTTTTGTTACTAATTATTTGTCTTTGTTTCCTCTATCATTACTGGATTTAAGTTCATTGAAATTCAAAACCATATCTTGTCTTCTGTTTAACTTCTGTAGACAGTATCTAAAATAGCTAATGCCAAAAAGATAAATTAATTGATTTTTAATGGAAACTTATACTTCAGTGAGGATATTAAAAGGAATTATTTTTAATAAGTCAAAAAGTCATTAATGTAGTAAATAATTACTTCACTTATCTTTTATATAACACTGAATTTTTACTCATTGAAGATGTTTATGACATAGAATACATTAAAATAAGTTAAATAGGAAATGAAGAGATTAAGACTATGTTCTTAGTTTAGATGACCTGCAAACAAAGTTTTGGATTTGACACCTGGTTTGGTATATTACAAAAAATCCCTCTCCTTTTCATCCTGCTCTAGAGAGACAGTATTTGTAAAAGATCTTGGTTGGATTTTGAAAGCAGACTAGGGTTCACTTCAAGTTCTACTAGCTGCATGGTTTGGAGCAAGGTATTTAACTACCATGAACTTCATTTTTCTTATATTAACTATCATGAACTTCATTTTTCTTATATTACTTTCTCTGCAGGAGGACTGCACACAATGGTGTATGCAAAGTGTATCATATAGAAACTGTTATATAAAAAGTGTCTTTCTTTGTAAAACCAGCAAAGCAGAGATCATTCACTGAAAAAGGGGTAGTCTTGGCAGTTACGGTAGAGTAATAACTAGGCGATCATTTTTTAACTTATACTGAGTAGACAGACAAAATAAAATAGTATTTTAATTATGATTAATATATCGCTAATAACTATAATCATTTTAATTACTAATAAAATACTTTTCATACACAAATTATTTTTTGTATCAGAATCTATTTCCTCCCAATAAGATTTAGAGCAGAAAAAGTGGCATTTTAAAGTGTAGTCCATGATATTAAACTGTGAATAATTCAAAATTTAGTCATGCTTCTTTCTTTCTACCCACTTGCATCCTCCTAAAGCTTGTGGTAAATGAAGACAATCCTTGCTTCCCTAACAAGAATTCCCACTGTCTCCCAGGTTTCCCTGTCATCTTATGACATCTACTCTATTTGAAATAATCTCATGTCTGACATTTCTAACAGAAAGCCCTAACTAACTTTAAATAATTGCCATATTTCTCTACGGGAGGTGCTTGCCCTTCAATTTTCTCTCTAAATCTTGACTAAAAGGTTCTATTTTTCCCTCTCTCTGATGAAATAAATATTTGTCATTAAATAGAATGAAGGAAAGGACTTCTGGTTAAACCCCTGAAATGGTACCAGATTTATACGAGGCTACTGTTTCAACTATGGCTAAAGTCAAAGGATGTGACAAACCTGTTCCATTACTGACACTTAGGACTCACTTCTAAAAATTATATTTTTAGATATTAACCATAAATTGAGCATAGATTTATAAGCTAACTTATTTATTGATGTAAAAGTAAATAAATAAATGTCCAACTAGGTTTACTTTTTATAAAAGACATAGTTCTCGCAATTATGTTTTAAATATTATGTAAAACAAATTCATTTTTTGGAAGTTCAATTAAGAGTCCAGTTACTAGGCTTGAAAAAATAACATGAAGTCCCTTCTTTCAAATGCTATATCCTCATCTTAGTACCACCAGTGGCAATTCACCTTCCCAGGTCTCAGTAACTAATATCTGAACTTTGAT